TACGTGGAGCTCATCTGACGGCCTTGCCTAAGAGCTTTTGGTGGCACTAGGACCGTGGAGCACCGGACACGACCCGCGTCCTGGGTGCCAGAGCAAGGAGCAGAGTCAGGAGCTCCAGCCCACCACGGGACGGCTGCCGACTCCGCTCCCCATGTCCCCTGGCGGGCGGCCAGCTAGCCCAGCCCAGCCCAGCCCGCTCCCGCCAGCCTCCAGCACTGGGGAGACCAGGAGGAGACGGTCGTCACCTTGGAGCTGGGGTCCCCGGATGGAAAAGTTGCACGTGTTGGGCAGTCGCTCAGTCCCGGGAAACTGGCTGTTGAGATGAACTTTCTTACCAAATTCAGCCTGAAAAATCAATGAAATATTCACTGATGGCTTCAGAGCACACGCCCCACCCCGCCCCACCCTGCCCACACCAACTGTTTGAACTTTAGACTCCTCTGGAAGACAAAATCTCAACCTTAACACTAAAACAATGATCTCGTTTTTACGCATCAGGAGAAAAAATTCTGAATGCACGTGGGCCTCCCACACCCGGTCATGAGATACGCCACCTCTGGTGTGCTCCGTCCTGAGTCTGCGAGGAAGGTGACCCCCTTGGGGGGTTTCTGACTCCCGCTACGGCTTGTCATTTAATTCTTCCCTCTTTGCTCGTGACCTTGGTTGTCCCCAGGGTCCCCGGGCACTGGGCTGCAGTCCTCCCAGCTCCTCTCATCCCGTTAATCGACCACCACGTCGTGCGTGCTCCCCAGGCCGCGAGTCCCCGTCCTCTGCTCGCTGGCTGAAGGAGCCTGACCCGGCCCAGGCTGGCGGCGGCACTCACCAGCAGCCTCTCCTCCAGGTAGTCCCGAACGTCCCGCATGTGGGCCTCATAAGCCTCGCAGTTCTCTGTCACCAGCTCAGCGGCCTGGAACACAGGAAGGCGGCAGCGGGAGAAAGCGTTCGATCATCGTAAAGGGGAGCAAAGGGCTTTAAGTAGCAGAGGTGATAGTTCCTGATGACAGAGAGGGGACATTCCCTAAACTGCTCATTTTCTGGAACATCATAGACAGTGCTTCTCGAGTGACCCTGTGACAGGGGCCATAAGTGCTCAAAGTGTCATCTGCTCCTCTTCCACAGAAACTTACTTTATTAGACACTTCCCGACACCGCCAGGCACGAGACGCCACAGCATGCTAAGACCAAAAAGAACCCCAGCCCTCGAGGCACATCCTGTCCCTTCAGAGACAGAGGACACAGGAGCAGAGGGGGACCGCTCTGCAGGCCACCGTTACGGGGCGGCGGGGGCGTGGAGGTGGCACACGGCCACCAACGTCATGGTGGAGGGAAGGGTGAGGGCGCTCCTGGGACAGAGGGAGGGGACTGGGCCCTGGAGGCCCTGGTGGCAACGGGCCCTGAGCTAAGGGCAGCAGGGCACTCGCCCCAGAGTCTGAGGATGGGCTGGGCGGCTGATGTGCACGTTTCCCCATCGTTCTGGACGCCGTGTGGGGAACGGGAGACGAGCAGCTGTCAATCAAGGATGGGGGTCGCCTGGCAGAGTCGGTGGCTGTGGCAATGGACAAGAGGCAGATCCCCGCTGTCGTGGAGACGGGAATCGGGTGCAGGGGTCAAGGGCGGGATCAAGTGAGAACCTGGATGGTGGGAGGTGCCCCGGGGAGAGAGGGGAACGATGGAGGAGGCGGCAGGACACTTGCGAACCAAGAGGAAATGTCGAGGAAGTAGGTGGGGACGTGAGTCTCCCAAGAAAAGTCAGGACCTGCCCTGAGATGTCAAGTTCAAAGGCCTGAGCACAGGCTGGTGTCCGAGTTACACCAGGAGAGGGAGCTGGGATGGCCGTAGGGGCCAGAAGACAGAGGCCCAGGAGGGCAGCCAGGCGCAGGGGGAGCCAGCCAGAGGGGAAAGCGTCCCAGAGCGGCCACGGCACAGACAAGGATGTGACGACGCGGCTCAGCCAGTTTCAGCAGAGGAACGGGCAGCGACACTGGTCAGGACGGGAGGGAAGGGCCAGTGCTCACGGGCCACCCCTGGGGCAGAGAAGCGCAGGGGACACTGGAGGGGTGAGGACTGGGGAAGGGCAGTTTCAAAGGCTGGGGGAACGTTCTGGCAGAGGAGCAGGAGGGGACAACAGCAGGACACTCCCCAGGGAACACGGGGGAGGGTGGAAAGCCAGACTGGGCAGGGAGAGCGTGGAGGGGACGGCGTTTGTCCCCAAGTGGACGATGGAGTCAGAGGCTCGGGGCCCAGGTGCAGGCCGGGAGCAGGCAGGGGTCCCTGTGGGGCTGGGAGGCGCCAGGGTTCAGGTGGGCCACCAAATGAAGAGGAATCTCTTTAGGAAGCTGCTACCACCGGCCAGGGCTCAGGACGGCGCACACCGGCAGCCTGAGCACGCTCTGCTGTGGGGTCACCGTAGTCCTCACAGGACACTGGGGAAGAGCTTTCCCTTCCGCTAAGCACACGCAGCCCGCCCCGCAGACCTCGAGCTGCACATCTCGTATCGGTCCATCCGCTGGGGTCATGAGCACGATCTCCCCAAGGCGCTGGCTGCCAGCAGAGCTGGCGGGGCCGGAATTCTCCACGTGCGGTGTCTGAGGCCGCGGCTCGCCCACCTGTTGGTTTTCACAGCACTCAGCACAGGGCCCCGCGAACATGGGGTCCTGCCCATTTATCCTCGTAAGGGGGCTCTGAGCTGGGTCATGCGAGGCTCATGGTGGCCCCCCCAGCCCCTAAACATGGTCTGGCTTTCACGGTCCACCTTCACAGGCCGCTGGCACGTCAGGCGTGGAAACAGCGTGGTGGCCTGTGCTGCTGGGGTTACAGCGCCTGAAAAGCACCCAGACCAATGCCCCCCGATACAGGCCAGGTGAAAGTGGGTGCACTGCATCACCCCCAGTCACAGAGTGGCTGAGCCAGAGTCCCCTGCGGCCTGTCTTGTCACAAGTGAGACACAAAGACCAGGCTGGACAGTAACATTCTCCTCTTATAGTTGTGCGGGCCACTGAACACTTGTCCCCCTGGGCTGTGCTGCCAGCCCCTCCTCGTCCCCTCCCCTACCCCTGTGGCAGTTGGCTGCAGACGGCACCTGCCAGGTCGACCGCTCTGCCCACTTCTCGGCGAATGGGCCATTCAGTTCCCCTGGGAAGGGACAGCCCCCATGCGTCCCCCTCTGCACTGCGACTGGCCTGGCCTTGGGGCTCCTGACGGGGACTCCGGCTGTGCTGTCAGGCCCCGGGCCCCTCCCGCCCCTGCACGGCGCTACCGCTGCCGGGCACTGCCCCACCCAGGCCACACGTGCTCAGCAGAGTCCCAGCCGGCCCCGGACCGCCTGTCACTGGTGCCGTGTGTGTCTCTGCTCT